GGAGGGCTATTTAGAAAGTGGCTTAAAATGTTTCTAACTAGATTCTGAGCTCTCCTTATCCCTGATTACATGACTCATGGTTAATGGTTAAAAAAATGTCAGAAGCCATCATCTATATGGTTTCTAATTTTTTAATTCTATTAATTTTTAATCCATTATTTTATTTGCTCTAAATATTTAACCAAGGAAACATCTAGGATGCTACAATACAGGAATACCCTGTATTGCAAGGGTCTTCAAACTTGGCAAGTTTAAGACTTGTGGACTTCAACTCCCAGGATTCCTGAGCTAGCATGACTGGAGGAGGAATTCTGGGAGTTGAAGTCCACAAATCTTAAAGCTGTCAAGTTTGAAGACCCCTGCCCTATAGCATTCCAAACAAAGAACGTGGGAAAAATATTATAGATGTTAAGAATGACTTTGTGTATGTAAACAAACAAACAAAAACCTCTGTATTTTTAAACCTATTTAAACCTATTTCTAAAGCTTTTGGCCAAGCATTCTAGAACAATTACTATTTATTAACAAATAGGTAATGGATTCTGTCACATATAGCAAATGCAAAGAAAAACTCAAGCTGATTTACATTATTCTTATTAGAAACAAATGAGCAGCAAGGCCATTTGACCAAGAGTTTATATCAAATAAACACTGAATTTATGAAGTATAGGTAGACCATACTTTTCTACTAATCCAAATTAAGATCAAGCCATTTATAATTTATTCAAATACCCAATTGTGTTCAAGCTTGCATTTTTTTTCTATTTTCTGCATAAGTCCGCTTGTTCCTCTTTATTTTTCTTGTGAATTTAAACTGCTGTTGGGCAAAACAGATATGAGAGCAGTTGAGGAAATAAAACCCATCCTTAAAGAGTTTTAAGACAACATGTACTGAATGATTCTGCTTTTTCTCCCATTCCTTACAACAAGGATAGCATGATGGTTCAGCCATTAAGTTGCTAGGCTTGCTAGATGGAAAGCTGCAGCACAGGTTCAAGACCTGAACTCCACACTATGGAATGAGCTCCCATTTTCGCTCCAGTTCCTGCCAATCTAACAGTCAAAGTATGCAAATGTGAGTAGATAAATAGGTACCACTTCCGTGGGAAAGTAACAGTGCTCCGTGACATCAAGGTGGCCACATAACTGTGGAAATGTCTTCCTATAGTGCTGGCTCAAAAGCCTTGACATGGAGACAAGCACTGTCCCCTATACGAAGCAACAACTAGAGGAATAAAATCTGCAGCGACTCCTTTACCTTTTTTACTGTACCTACACAGCAAGATCAAAGCCCTTCTGATGGCAAGTTCAAATTTGGCATTAACTAACACTTTTTGTTCTAATTCTTCTTATAGCAACCATCGGGACAACTTAACATACTGCAATCAGAAGTCTCTTTTAGCTAGATATTCTACCTTCCTCTGCAAATGTGAGAAAACCATCTTTTGAAGCAGAGGTGTCAACTCAAGGCCTGGGGACTGGATTTGGCCTGCATGATGCTTAGATCTGGCCCATGGGGCTACCCTTGAAACAGTGAAGAACTGGCCCGTGGTGTCTCCGCCAACAAAAATGGAGCTCAGGAGGCCTCCCAAGCTCCGTTTTTGCTGGCAGAGTTGCAGGAGGCCGTCACAGCCGAAAACAGGAGTCTGTTTTTGCTGGCACTCAGGCTACCACCAGCCCAACACAAATCTTGAGCTGGCCACGCCCACCCCATCCCAAGGTCAAACACAACCATGATGCGGCCCTCAATGAAATTTGAGTTTGACACCTCTGTTTTAAAGAGAATTAACATTACAGATAGTCCTCAATGTACAGCTGGTCACTTACTAATCATTTGAAGTTTCACTGCCCCACCCCCAGCTACTTAGGATTTCAGTTTGAAGTTCTGACAGCCAACCTCCCCATGGTTACATCATCACATTTTGGACACTTGACAACTGGTTTATCCTTATGGCTGACTATAGCATCCCAGGGTCATGTGACTGCAATTTTTGAGTTTTTCTGGTTTCCAATGTTTCTGGTTGAAAAAGCATATTGGGTAAAATGGATTCATTTAATGACCAGCACAAAAAAATGTTATAAAATCAGGTATGGCCACGTGGTGACCGGCTTAGCTACCATATGGCTCAATTATGGCCATAAGGCGAGGAGCACCTGTAGTGATTTTACACTAAGGAATTTCATCAAGGCTGCACATATTAAGTCTAAATGACTTCATAGGAAGAGTTTTAGTTTTATGATGCAGATTTTGAAATAGAAAGGAACTAGGTGGGTAAAGCGCCAGACTAGAAATTGAGAGAAAATGAGTTCTGGTCCTGCCTTAGGCACAATGCCAACTGGATTAGCTTGGGCCATTCACTTCCTCTTAGCCATAGGAAGGAAGCAATGGCACACGTCTGAAAAACCATGCCCAGGAAACTACAGGGACATGTCCAGGCAGTCTCCAAGAATCAGATACAATTGAACAGAAAAGGGGTGGAGATTAAAAACAGATGTTTTATTTGGCCATTTCATCATTTTCCTAACATTGAATATACTTTAGTTCCAAAGACACTTAACACTTCTCTACATTGGCAGAAGATAATGTTGTACAACCATCAAATGACTCTCCACAGTCTAGGAATGAAATACAATAGGGCAGTGGTCCCCAACCTTTTTTATGCCGCGGCCTGGTACCAGCATCAGCTGGGCGCCGCCATCTTGTTTTGATGAAAAAGTGCTTCCGGTGAGCTTTTCCGGGTAGACTTTTTTATCAAAACAAGATGGCGGCGCCCAGCAAACCAGCGGCCCAGTAGGATTTGTTCCACGGACCGGTACCGGTCCGTGGACCGGTGGTTGGGGACCCCTGCAATAGGGGATCAAACCATAGCCAAAAATGCAGTCTTGTGCTCTCAAGCTAGAATCACAAAGATCCAGAACAGATCCGTTTCCATAATTCATTTTGTGCTAATCAAATATAAAATAGGGTGAATGAGAATCATGTTTAAGAGGGAGGGAAAAAAGGAAACAATTTTTCTTTGAATCAGAATCAGAAGTGCTTAGCTGAAATGTACCCAAGTATTGACCTGTTCTTGATTAGGGACAAAACATAAATTTATAAAAGATTAAAAACTTTTGCTGAAAATGAAACAAGATTTTTTGAATAAAACATATTAAACATGGGAAGAAGGGAATGATAATATAAATCTAAAGAGAAAAATGGTAAAAGCTTGTAACTTCTATAAAGATCAGAAGTCACTTTAACTTTTTCTTTTTTCCCCTTTATTTCTTTCCTTTTTGTCCAAAACCTATAGTCTATAATAAATCTAATATAAAACATCCGTTAATGGTTTTGTGATGGTTTCCCTTTAATGTTTGACAGAAATTTCAGATTTATTATGTTGTTTAAAGAACCACCAAAGGAAGGAAATGGTGAGAGAAGGTGCTATACTTAAGTTTCTTACTAAGTATGTAGCGTGAAAAGACACGTAAGCAGCTTAGAATATAAACTGAGAAGACCTACTTCCATGTTATTTTCCTAAATGGACTTTATGTTCAACTAAACAATTATATTCTGCCCAGTTCAGACTCCATGCAACTATTTTTTAAAAAAAATCAATAAAATACAGAAATTATTCAACAGCTATATAGATAGCTATATAGTTTTAAAAGGAACCATATAACATATGAGGATTAGGCACAGCACTGCTGATCTTAATTGCCTTATGCTTTTTTAAAGGGCCAGCTCTCTGTTGTTTTATGGAAAAAAAGAACTATACTGTAGCAAGCATATTGATTTCAGGGACAGCAAATTCCACAAGGAAAGAGGCAGCTATACAGATGGGCCTGTTTCAGGTCCATTTGCCTGAAGTGTTGAGGGAGGAATCCAGAACAAATCTTCATGGACCACTCAAACAAGATGAGATGTTGGAGGCAGGCCGGCCCATAATTAGTTAGGTCTTAAGGAGGAATTATAAGCAACAGCCAGCCTCATGAACGTTACCTGGAAACAAATACAAATATTGGCACTGATAGGAACCAGTTATTGGGAGGACGAGCACCCCAATATTCCGAAGTGAATTATGAGGCAAGGAAAAAGAGGTGTGGAAAAATAGGAACCGCAGGCGTAGATGGCCAGACTAGAAAAATGACTAAAAGATGAAAAAGGGAAGTTTGAGTTCAGTTCTGAGGCCAGTTTTCTTTACCGTGGCTCATTTTATTCGCCATTCGACGCCGAATTCTCTCTGCCACGTATTAGGCGGGGCGAGGCAACCTGCCTCAGGCATCGAACTTTCCAATACAGGTTCTCGTGAGGAAAGAGAAGGCGCCTAGAGCCACAAGGAGCCTGTAGGCCTACGGCTGCAGTGGCTTCAAAAGTTACATGAACTGGCTGAGTTTTGAGTGGTGGTTTTATTTTTTATTTGGGGGGGAGGTATTGTGCCTGAAATACGCGCGGTATTTTTTTTTCCACACTATTTTTTGAGGGGGCTACTAGTATTAACAAAGATCTTCATACAATCGCTGTGGCATAGATTTCCTTCGGGTCAGCCTTAAGGAACTCGGCCAGAGAGAGAGGGGGGGGAGAGCAGCTCTAACCATTAGGCAGTTTTACACACACACACACACACACACACGAGCTATAGAACAGGGGTCTCCAACCTTGGCCCCTTTAAGCCTGGAGGACTTCAACTCCCAGAATTCCCCAGAAAGCAAAGCTGGGAATTGAATTCTGGGAGTTGAAGTCCTCCAGGCAGGCTTAAAGGGGCCAAGGTTGGAAGACCCCTGCTACAGAACGTCTAGAGAGGGTCGCGGGAGGGGGGGGGCTCGACTGAGGAGCTTCCATTTCTCTCCCCCCTTTTTCCCCCCCCCCCCCCCCAAGGCCGGGTCGTTCACGCGCGCGCCGGCTGTCACGTGACCGACTCCCTCTTTCTCTCTCCCCCCCCCTCAGCACGTGTCACTTTCTTCCCACCCCCCCACCCCTTCCCCGCGCGCTCCGTGTCCTCGGCGGGCCTTCTCCTAACCTGCGGTCAGCGCGTCTTGGCCTTGCATCCCGACGGGCACCTCGCCGTTTTCCAGGATACTGTAGCCCTCGTCGTTCTCGATGCCCGCGATTTCATTCTCCTGCTGGGCCAGGAAGGCGGCGGCTGGGTCTTCTTCGCCAACCCCCAGTGCCCCGTTTCCCGCCACTGGCTGAGAGGCGCCGAAGAGATCGAACTCGGCCATTGAGCGAAAAGAATCGGGGAGGAGTCAACCGAAGCGACGGTCCCCAAGAGACGAGCGGCCAAAAAAGAAAAAAAAACCCAAAAAACTACAAACCCGCCCGAGGCAACCGTTTAACGGATAGCGAGTACTATTTCCGGCTTCCTCCAGCTAATCAGTCCAGCAGTCAGCAGCCTTTTTCTCCTTTCCTTCCTCCACCCCCACCTTCCCGGGAAAGCTCCTAGAGTGATGGCCCAAATCCACCAACCAACCGAGGGGAGAGAAAGGCAGAAGCCAATTAGTGTGCTCAGAAGGCGGGATTCTGCACACGTGATCTCTTTACTCTTTTCGTCCGTGAGCTCTGAGGTGGGGGGGGAGGAGGAGGAGGGACCTGCTCGGGGTCGGGACGGGTTTTTTTTTTTTCTCTCTCCCTCCCCCATCCCTCCTCTTAATGCGGACTTCCCGGCTGGCATATTAAGCGGAGGTATTGAGGCAAAAACCGGGTTTATAACGTGAATGGTCGGCGGTGCAACGAAAGGAGGAGCGCCAGAGTTTGCTCGAAAAGGAAACGCTCCTTTTACGCGCCCTTCTCTGAAAGTGGGTCCTAATAACTTACTGGCACTAAAATTACTAAGCACTTGTGGCTTTGCTGTCACTTTGCCAGACGTTACAGAAAGAACGAGTACTACTGCAAGGAGAAGGTCTCTTATCCTCTCTGGCCAGTCTGTCAGTTTACTGCAGACAAGTACAACCGGTCGCTAGGAGCTCTCTGTGAATACTTCTAAATTGCTCGTCAGAGGCAGTGAAGAAAATTTGAGACAAACTTAATATACATCTATAAAACAATCTGGCTAGAAGCTGTGAAGTCTGAAAGGAATAATCTATGGGTTATATGGAATCTAAATTTATATCAGATGTGACTACAATTAAAATTACAAAAAGGTGATGTCTTAAAATTTATGTAAAGTCAGTTAATATATAAAATTACAACTGAAATATCAAAAATCACATACAATACCTCTGTAGCAGTAACTTGGCCCATTAAGGGTCTGGAGGATCCCTACTACTTGTTTCTGTGTAACTTAGTCACACAGTTCTATAATAAATGGCAGTTCTTCTGGCCAGTTTATCACTAAATGTCTATGGAGATTCTCAGTCATCCAGGTCATGGTTGTCGCAAAGGTGCTTTTTCAAGAGGCAGCTGGACTTTCTGGTTTTTCTTTGAAGATGTTGGCCAATTTGTTTTTCATGAGAAGTAACTTTTTTTCCAAAAAAAGTTAGGCACTTCAAATACTACAAAAGCTGTGGAGGTGTTCCTTGTAAAGCTTATTCTAATGAAAAGGTCCATATAGAGGTAATTGTTTTCTAGTTCTCAGAAATACAGTTCAAAACTTGATAATGTCAGAATATTAGAAAGTTACCTTTGTATTCAGATATTGAACACACTTGTTTTGCTTTTGAAAGCTCTTTATTTGTTCTGAAACCATTTGTAACTGCAGGAATCACTTGTATAGTTTTTAAAGTTATAACTTATTGACTTCATAGAGCAGGAAGATCTTCCCTTTTAGTGCAAATAAAAATTTTAAATAGGGGGCGTGCATAAGCGCACCAATGTGCCTACCATCCCTGTCCTATTGTTTCTTTTTTTTCTTATTCGTATCCATTTCATGTTTTAATAACCATGTTTATACTTATACCTGTTATCTAATAATCGCTTGACAAAATAAAATAAATAAATTTTAAAAATTATGTATAGCAAAACATACCTGCTTTTTTAGTTGGATATCAAAGCAGGTGATAGTTCGTGATTGGCCTTTTCTGAGCTTGGAAGCTAAATGACTGGATACATTTAGTTTTTGAACGGGAAACTATGAGGGAATTCCAGGGCTAGGCTGGAAAGTCAAAAACATCCTAGAAAAAGACAATAGCAAATGCATCTATATTGTTCCCACTCAAAATATAAACATGCCCAAGGAGTTACCAGGAGTTAGTACTGTAAGGACAGGTTGTTTCAGACTACATATGGGAGAAAACAGTTCTGTTCAGTAATATTTTTATACCTTCCTTTTAAATATTATTATGAATCCGAGAGGAAACAGGAAAGTATGGGCTGGCCGTGTCTACATGTATGCATTTGGAGATGGCAAGAGTAGTATCCACTATGGGTGAAGCAGAACATTTATTTTGGATCTGAAATAAACATATGTTTCAGATTTTCTTTACAGCCATTCCAGATTGGCTGTGATTTGGCAGAAACAAAATGTGGAAATAGGGAATAATTTAATGGGCAAGCTGGGGTAGGCTGATATATATTGCCATCACTCTAGCCTCCCACTCCCAGCAGATGCCTACACTGAATATCACACTGGCTAGTCTTTCCTAGCATCTTCTTTCATTATAGTATATCCCCTATCTGTTATAAAACAGTAACATTCTATATTATTGCATACCAGGTATTAAAAGCATAGAAACAGTAAAAAAAAATGGCAATCCTTTTTGTAGTGTAATCTTAGAAAATTAATAGCCTTTGGGACTACAGCTCAGAATAACTTCAGAAATTCTTGTAACAAATTTTCATTTCCTCTTTCTTCAAAGAAAGATAGCTTCAGTTCTCCACATTATTATCTAGAAATCATTGAGCAATCATTAGTCAAATGACAGAGGTTTGCTATTTTTTAAAGATCACAGAGGTCAATAGCTAGCTTTCTTGGACAGTCACAAAGCTAGAACTGTTCAACATACCAAGCCATAAACTAGTTAACCAACTTAGCTTTATGGTCCAGTATGAATTACAACCCTCCCCAAATGAGGTGAGTAACCATGGTTCAATTAATAGTGTTATTTAAACATCACCATTGTGAAAAAGGACTTAGTATGATTATCTATCTATCTACCTATGTGTGTACATACAACATTCACCCTGGCCTAGATTAAAATGCAGTTCTCTCTACTTTGATCTTTCACACTAAGCTGCATTTTTAAAAAAGAATGATTTAGGAAGGAAGGATCATTTGTCTTACATAATTTTACACAAGGAATTTGGTGAGAGATAATTTATACTCTTTACATATATCTATAGATTTACAAACTTGTCTACTTTGCTACTACCTGAGGACCATGTAAATGCTACTATCAACAATTATTTTATTGCAACAGTAGCAACAGCTTTAATTGAAAATGCCTCTTCTTGAAAAAAAATGGCTCTATTCTCCAAATCCTCTTTGTAAGACAATTGCTATGAATCAATTGTTTTCCTTTCTTTGGTTGCAAAGGCAATGTGTGAAGGAAAAGAGATTGCTACATAAAGAAAATTGACCTCAGGCTTTACTGTTGTTTAAAAATACTGTATATATTTTGTAACAAAGATAGAATTGAGAGCAGGGCATAACCGAGGATGAAAAATGAATAACTTTTAAAATGCTGTTCAATTCAGCTCCGAGGATTTCTTAACTGGGGGCAATGTTGGTTGGGACACTGGAATCTACAGGTGAAACTCGAAAAAGTAGAATATCGTGGAAAAGTTCATTTATTTCAGTAATGCAACTTAAAAGGTGAACCTAATATATGAGATAGACTCATTACATGCAAAGCAAAATAGTTCAAGCCGTGATTTGTCATAATTGTGATGATCATGGCTTACAGCTCATGAAAATCCCAACTCCACAATCTCAGAAAATTAGAATATTGTGAAAAGGTTCAATATTCTAGACTCAAAGTGTCCCACTCTAATCAGCTAATTAAGCCATAACACCTGCAAAGGGTTCCTGAGCCTTTAAATGGTCTCTCAGTCTGGTTCAGTAGGAATCACAATCATGGGAAAGACAGCTGACCTGACAGTTGTGCAGAAAACCATCATTGACACCCTCCATAAGGAGGGAAAGCCTCAAAAGGTAATTGCAAAAGAAGTTGGATGTTCCCAAAGTGCTGTATCAAAGCACATTAATAGAAAGTTATGTGGAAGGGGAAAGTGTGGAAGAAAAAGGTGCATAAGCAGCAGGGATGACTGCAGCCTGGAGAGGATTGTCAGGAAAAGGCCATTCAAAAGTGTTGGGGACTTTCACGAGGAGTGGACTGAGGCTGGAGTCAGTGCATCAAGAGCCACCACACACGGATCCTGGATATGGGCTTCAAATGTCGTATTCCTCTTGTCAAGCCACTCCTGATCAACAAACAACGTCAGAAGCATCTTACCTGGGCTAAAGAAAAACAAAACTGGTCTGTTGCTGAGTGGTCCAAAGTCCTCTTTTCTGATGAGAGCAACTTTTGCATCTCATTTGGAAACCAAGGACCCAGAGTCTGGAGGAAGAATGGAGAGGCACACACTGCAAGATGCTTGAAGTCCAGTGTGAAGTTTCTACAGTCTGTGTTGATTTGGGGAGCCATGTCATTGCTGGTGTTGGTCCACTGTGCTTCATTAAGTCCAGGGTCAACGCAGCCGTCTACCAGGAGATTTTGGAGCACTTCATGCTTCCTTCCACAGACAAGCTTTATGGGAATGCTGACTTGATTTTCCAGCAGGACTTGGCACCTGCCCACACTGCCAAAAGCACCAAAACCTGGTTCAATGACCGTGGGATTACTGTGCTCGATTGGCCAGCAAACTCGCCTGACTTGAACCCCATAGAGAACCTATGGGGCATTGCCAAGAGAAAGATGAAAGACATGAGACCGAACAATGCAGAAGAGCTGAAGGCCGCTATTGAAGCATCCTGGTCTTCCATAACACCTCAGCAGTGCCACAGGCTGATAGCTTCCTTGCCACGCCACATTGAGGCAGTAATTGCTGCAAAAGGGGCCCAAACTAAGTTCTGAGTACATATGCATGCTTCTGCTTTTCAGAGGTCTGATATTGTTCTGTGTACAAACCTTGTTTTATTGATTGCATATAATATTCTACCCTGTTTCTCCAACAATACGGCCTCCCCCAATAGGAAGTCCCAGCATGTTTTATAGGCATGAAATGAAATTAAGCCCCTCCCCCCAAATTAAGGCCTGTATTAAAACATGCAAAATGGGGGGAATGGTGGGGGGGGGCTTGCCATTAGAAAGTACTTTTGTTGCACACCTGGATATGGTGCTGCCTGCGTTGACCCCGATACGAAGTGCCCCACCAACGCCGAGGTCAACATCCAAGCCGTCGCCGCCCGCCCGAAGATGCAAGGGGGGGAATTAAGTCACCCCCAAAAGACAGCCTAGCCATTTTTTCGGGGCTCAAAAAGAAATAAGACCCGGCCTTATTATATGAGAAACACGGTAATTTTCTGAGCTTGTGGATTTGGGGTTTTCATGAGCTGTAAGCCATCATCATCACAATTATGACAAATCACGGCTTGAACTCTTGTTTGCATGTAATGAGTCTATCTCATATGTTAGTTTCATCTTTTAAGTTGCATTACAGAAATAAATGAATTTTTTCACGATATTCTAATTTTTCAAGTTTCATTGTATGTACCCTCAACAATATCTGGATAGTTTCCCACTGTTGTTAATTTTTATTATTTTTGTGAACAGCTCTGCTAACTGGGTAGTAGAACTCCTAACATTACATTCTTCTTTAAAACCTTGTTAAGAAAAGAGACGATGGCCATTTTTATTTCCATACAGAACATAGGAGTCTTAGCACTTGAGAATATGTAAATCTAAATCACAACACCTTTAGAAGTTAACTATTATTGCTGTTCCTCTTTGAACCTGTAATAAAATAGTTAAGAATATTTCTGGACTTTAAAGTTGCCACTGCAACAATTCCAAAATCTTAAGATTACTCCCAAAGGTTAGGGCATAAAAATTTGCATGGGTTACTGCTATGCAATTTCACATAGTCAGGGTTTTAGATGAATCATGCAGTGCTTTACTTGCTAGGCTGCAGCTGTGGGTCAAGTGGGAAGCCTGGTATCTAGGTTTTTATCCACTGTTTTAAAATAGGTTTCAATATTTAACGTAAAAATCACAGAATGAAACATGTTAACTTCTCTATTAATATTGCATATGATCTCTAGCTGATTATCTTTTGCCTCTAACCCTGGATAAGTGCCATATCCCACTCCAATATTCTCATCCTAATTACATTACGTACATGATAAAGGGACAAAAGGAAGTGTCCATCTATGTATCTGTAAACTGCATTTCAGCCATTCTTTATTGCTACAGATTGTTTCATTTTGGTTTCCCAAATTAATTGACTACAGTTTTTTGGAGGACCCTGCATGGCAACTTCGCCATGCAGCAAGCAGGACAATCAAGAGCTTCTGGAGGCACAGCTAAAGTCCTCCATTCCCCAGTGCTTTGGTCTAACATATATGCTTGCCGATTGATAGAATACTCCTCTGGACGTTTTTCACCTGGACAAATAAGTCCACCACATACAAACACTTTGTTATTCCCAATAGAACACACTGCATGTGACAGATCCAAACTATAGTTATGTGGCAGCAGAGGCACAAGGCTTGAGGTTTTGCTAACTTTAACCTTCTGCAGATTTATTTCCATGCTCTCTTTGTGGCTCTGTATACTCAAAATGTTCTCATGTGGGAAAGACAACAAGGGCTTATGGTTGAACTGAATGGGAAAAGTGATATACTGGACTACATTCCGGGTCTCGGTGTCAAAGCAGTCCAGCACACCTACTCGTGAGAAGCGCCCATTTACCAGACATCTCCCTGTCACAATGTAAATAGTCTTGTCTCCCTTGGTGATCAGTGCAGTTGCGTCCATAGGTATACTCATCTTCCCAGCAAGAGTCCATTTCTCTTTGCCTTCATCGTACTTGTAGATACTGGAAATGTACCTTCTTGGGGCTGTGCTACCTCCTATAGAATACACTGCGCCTCCACAAGTCACCATGCTATGGAAAACAAGACCAACTGGCAGATCTGGAAGTTTGATCCATGTGTTGGTATCCATATCATACTTCCAGGCAGTCTTCAGCCCAGAGATCTGCTCAGTGGTTCCTCCAGAGACATAAATGAATTTCCCCAGTGAGGCTGCGCTGAGTGCGGCTGCTCTGTAAGGCATTTCTGTGAGTTTCATCCAGATATTCTCTCCTATTACATATGCAAACACCTCATTGTTGAATTTGCCCTGTTCTTTTTGTCCCCCTAAGATTACTACTGAGTCCACTAGTGCCCCCTTCCTTTGTTGAAGCATCAAACTTTGAGGACTTCCATGTTTACGTTCACTCAACACAGCTTCTATCCGGGACAGAGGTCCAGTGTGGTCTGCAAAGAGCAACACTTCCCGACAGGCTGCAAGTAGTGTCTTGGTAGAAACTGCTGTTAAACGTATATAGCCAAAGCACTTTTTAAAATGCTTCTCCCTTTCATTCTTTTTATATTTTATCCACTGAAGGAGACCGAGAAAGATCTGATCTTCGTTTTGCACGTGAAGATTCTCCTCTTTAAGCAATTTGCTGAGGACGTGATAAGGGCATTGCATAAATTCTGATATGCCCTGAGGCCCTACCCAATAATGAAAATTGTCTCGTATCCCATCATAGGCAGCATTCCTTATGTCCTTCAGGTCATATGTAGTGGCTATCAGAATGTACTGGAGGCAGTTCTCCATTTTGAGGGACCGGAGGAGGAAATCAGAGCAGTGACTTCTTAAAGTTTGGGAACTGAAGTACTTGGCTCCCTTCAGCAGTTCCTCCACATTTTTCTCTGAAATCACAATCCTCCCAGTATAGAAATAATCAAGCAATTCCTCCATTAAGGCCGGGCTCATGAATTTCGCATCAATGATAATATAGAGTTCATCATCTGCTTTCATATCATTGCTGGATATCAAACTCCTTATATGGGAAGACATAGCTGCTAAGACGTTGAGGTGGGCATGGAAGACAGTCTGGTCCACACTGAGAGCCACATCACAAAATTCCTTGTTCTTTCTTTGTTTGTTAAGGGCCTGTACCATAAAACTGTTGTGGTTCTTTTCTGTAAACTGCATCTTCATGTTTTGAGCTGGGTCTGAAGGTTGTCTGAAGTTGAAGATGATGGTAAAAGCCTAGATTCTCTTGGCCTGAAAACCTCACTCTGAGTGCAGTGGAGTGATGTCAGTAGATGTAGATACCAGGTCATAATTACTTGTGACCTATACTGAAAACAGCCTTTTGAAATTTGTAAAAGGTTCTGCGCAGCATTTGGATAATATAGGAATGTTACTTCAGATCCAGTATGGATAAGCTCACTGTTGGTAGCTTCCTAAAGAGGTTGAGCCTTTCCCTTCTCACTATGCAGCTTCAGGAAAATAAGAGCGAACAAGAAGTATAGCAAGGACATGCACTACAGATCAGAGCCTCTTCCTACTTCAGATCTCCATACCGGTCACCTCCAGCTTTGCTACAAAAAGAGAAACAATACTTCTAATCATAGGGTACGTTTCTTACATCACCATTTTCCTCAGTTTGATATTCTTCGGCATGTTTGGATCAGAAACATCACAATTCCCAGTCACTTTGAATGGAAATTTGATTAATTAATCTGCTTTTCCTTTCCCTAAAGGCAAACAGGCAGAAAAAGAAATCAAATAAAAAACAAAACAACTAAAGTAAATTCTGAAAACATCATTCAAATAATTCAAAGAACTTGGCTGCAGAAGTGCTAAATGCAACCCCTTAAGATGTTTTGTGCTTGAGAATAATACAGAAGGCTCCCTTAACTATGTTCTGTACTCGTAGTCAGTATTTGAAGATTAGAAATAAACCTTTATTACAATATTCTCAGTGTATCAGCTCATTTTAATGATCAAGTATTATGTAGAACAGGTACTTTTAAATATTCTTTTCATTTCCAGTGATGATGAATGTAACCATTTATGGCTTCAAAAGGTTTGGACCAACCTTTTCAGTTATTGGTGGAAAACTGGTAATTTTTCAGATTTTCAGCATCAGCATAGTATGGTTGTTATGTTTATTGGATAATACCTACATGCAACATTAGTTGAAATTTCTGAATACTCAAGAAAAAACACACGTAAGCATATTGCACTAGCAGAATCACGGTATTATCTAAACAAGGTATTGATAACTGTGTCGGGATCTGACTTAACTCAGGAAGGATTGCAGCTGGTGTTCTGGATGCAATATTGTTTGGGTTTGGAAGCTCAGAAGAGAGGGACCGGGTTAAATACTTCGATAAAAGACCAGCAGGAATTCCAGGGCTGTAAGTTAGAATGAGAAGTTTAAAAAAAAAATCCCAAGGGTAAACAATTTATTGCACTTTCTACCAGACTTACTCTGGAGAATTTGTATTCACTTCACTTAGTCTAGAACAGCGGATTATTTCTTCACAGGTCAAAAATTGTTTTCCTATCTCACAGTTGCTAAACTGCTCTTTCTAAGAACTCTGACTTTGCATTCTGCAGAGTGTACAATACCCATTCTCAGATGTAAATATCTGCTGACTTGCATCCTAAGTCAGTAACCTCAATAACCTTTCCTTCCTTAGGATTTGCTTTACCCTTTTTGTGTGTTTTTTACAGGGGTGGGATTCTACAGGTTTGCACCTTTTCGCTAGAACCGGCTGTTAACATTCTAAGCAATTTGGAGAAACGGTTGTTAGAAGAAATTACTGGCCTAATCCTGTAAGGAAGGCAGGAAGGAAACATTCTGGTGTTGCTTACAGAAACTGCCTCTCCATTAACCCTTATTACATGCTTGACAGGACTAGACTTTCTGTCTCAGGAACTTCTCTGGAGGTTTTTTTTCCTCCTTTGCTGGTACTTTGCTTGTGTTGAGTGACCATTCAAAGTTACAATGGCACTGAAAAAAGTGACATGACCATTTTTCACACTTACGACTGTTGCAGCATCCCCACAGTCATGAGAGGCCAGGTGAGGATATGCATGCCTCGATGTGAGTGATGTTGAGTTGGCCACCCCCAGCCAATAACATGACCACCAAGCCATGCCCACCCAGTCACATGACCACCAAGCCACACCCACCACCTAAGCCACGCCCACAGAACTGGTTAAAAAAAAATTGAATCCCACCCTGGTTTTTTATTTCTTCCAACTCTTTTGCTTCTGTTAGCCCTGGTGGTCTTTAGCTCCCCCAGCTATTTTTCATTCATTCCTTCTAAACCAGATTGGTAGTACAACCCTGGAATTCTGCTCTTTTACTAGCAATTAGTCTTACCAACAAATGAACAATTCTTTCAGAGCCTTTTTTTCTGACATATTTTTCCATCAAAACACTAGATTTTAGTCCACAGAATGTTAGTTGTTATATATTTGCTAAATGTGAATGGTAGTAAATGATTTTATTATTATTTACCGCTATTATTACTTCTAATTTATTAAATTTGCATCCTCAATGCCTTACCTTTTTAATACCACTTCCTAAAATAGACAATTGGAAACATCTGCTTTCAATGCAATATTCTCTATGATGGTTCATTTGAACAGTAAATTATTTTCTTATGTAGGATAAATATTTCTTTAAAAACTCAGAAAATAAATTTGTTTGTTTTACATCTCTTTGTCCTGTTTTGAGTTTCCCTGTAATAATTGCATCATGATTTTCGAACTCCAGTGCTAAAACCTAATTCTGAAACTAAGCCCCATTAAGGTGTGTTTTTCAATGGATCTGCACATAGTTGTTCACAAAGATGTTGTTGATTTTTGTGTTAGTACTTGGGGCTTGGCTAGTTGATTTTACCCACCTTCTGGTTTTGCACTTATTAATGACAATGTGGTCTAGAGACATAAATGAGAAAAATATTAATTATGTAAAGCTAAGTTTCATCTGTATAGAGTATTTTGCTACAGAGTTAAATGTACTTGTATAAATGGTTCCTTTTATTCCTTCCTGACCAGGTGGTAGACACACAGCTTGCTTTAATGTTGTTTCTCTGGGACTTTCCTTTTGTTAAGATCTTACACTACTTTGGTTAAAAAAAACACTCATTCTCCAGAACATCTGGAGAATGAGTCAACCACAAAACTGGTCATCCTCCTACGTTGTCAGTTTAACATAAAAGGATTCAAGAAGCTGTGTACAGTGCTGTCTAATTAACAGAGTATAGAGAACAAAAGCTGATCCAAAAGAGAAAGGCAATGTTGGGGAAGAAATGTTAGGGACAAAAATGTATTTCTGTACTAGTTATGTTCACAAACATACCATGCCCTAAACCAGTGACGGCAAACCTTTTTGTTGTGGTGTGCCAAAAGCGTTCACGTGGGTGCCAGCACCCACAATGCAATGCGCCCTGCCCCCCCTGCGCATGCAACACCCCCACCCTGCCCACTTACCTGCACTGCGCATGCAAGTGCCTCCTAGCTGATTTTCGGCCCGTTTGAGGCCATTTTTACCCTCCCGGAGGCTTGAGGGAAGCCTCTGCAGCCTCGGGAGGCCGAAAAACAAGCCTTCCGGAAATACCGGAAGTGCCCCGTTTTCAGTCTCTGGAGGGCCTCTGGAGCCTGGAGGCTGTTTTCGCTCTCCCGGAGGCTCAAAGGAAGCCTCTGGAGGCTGAAAATGGGCCCGTTTTGGCACTTCTGGAAGGCCCATTTTTCAGCCTCCTGAGGTTGCAGAGGCTTCCCTTGAGCCTCTGGGAGGGCGAAAATGGCCTCAAACAGGCGGAAAATCAGCTGTGAGGTGCGCGCATGCGCAGTGCAGGTAAGTTTGGCTGGGGCTCACGTGCCCACACAAATGGCTCTGCACCCGTGCCATAGGTTCGCCATCACGGCCCTAAACCATAATTTGTGAAGCCATAGTTAACTGTGTAGAGAATGGCTAATGTAGAGTGTGTCATGGAAGGGTACATCTCAACCCTCCCCACTAAAGCTTTTGACCTTGCCTCTTCAGACTTAACACAGGACAGCTTTTGATTGTGGGTTATATGTTCCTTTTTACTATTGCCACTCAAACACATGTTGTTATGAATGTTGAAGCTTGTGCTTTGAGTTTTGACGTTTGAGTGAAATGAACTTTTTTTTCAAGATTAGGATGTTATTCATCTCTTCATTTTTAATCATCTGGTACAGGGGACGCCAACTTTTTGGGCCTCAGGGACCACCAAACTCAATTTTAGATCCCAGGGACCACTAACTGGTTCTGTGGGTGTGGCTTGGTGGTCATGTGACTGGCCGGGCATGGCTTGTATGTAAATATTATAAATATTTATATAAATATTGATTTTTTTATTTAAAAAGAGCAACTTTTACCCAAAATCAGGCAACGCAGGCAGATTGAGTTGCTCACAGAATCATTCAGTGATCTATCTATCTGCCATCGGCTAGCTCAGTCTCTCAAATTTGCCTGCCGTGAGTCTGCACTGAATTTGCTTGCAATCAAACCTTCAGTCCTAAGGGAGGTTTGGCTGTACTTAAAGGCAGAGCTGAAGATCTAAAGACTAACTAGCTGGAAAGCAAGAAATCCAACCATTTTCTGCTTCCTAGCTTATCTAAATCTCCCAGCACAGAGAACAGATGATGGTTAGAAAAAGGAAAAATAGATATTTAGCAGGCAAGTTTACCGGGTAAGGAGTGAGTGGGCAGGGAGGGTTGCCACGGGCCATGTGGGCAGTACAGCCTTGTGTTTCTGCACAGCCTGGATTAATTGCTTTGGGGGGGTGCTCTTGGAGTGAGATTTCTCTGTGACCCACCAAAATTTTCTCACGGCCCACCAGTGGGTCGCGGCCCACTGGTTGGTGACCGCTGATCTAGTAGGAGCGACAGCAACTTTAAAATGGATAACCAAAGTGTATTTTCAGCTGGTTATGCACTAAAAATAAGAGTTTGTAAAAAGTCACAAGCTTCTGAAGATGACTCTCTCAGTCAGGCATTATTAAAAATAAAAAAATAAGTGAAACTGAAATAGCTATCGCAGAACTTTACATGTAATCTGTATGATAACAATTTGGCTGCAAAGTGGCATTTATTAAAAACTAAGCCAGATATTGTGATGCTTTCTGAAGTTATGGCAGCTAAAGCACTCTCTTCTTTAAAAATTGAAATTCATTCGCATACTATTTTAAAGAATGATGGAAAAAA